CAGCCCAGGAAGAAAAGCTCAGTTCCTTAGCTGAAGGACCTGTGCAGAGAATGGACACTCGGATGTGTGTGTATGTGTGTGTGAGTGTGTAAATGTGCGAGTGTGTGCACTCAGGGAAGAGGAAATAAGTGGCAGGTCACCTGGCTTTTTAGAAAAGATGGCTCTGAGGTGGACCCTGAAGGATTCAGGGGTGGAGAGAAGTTTGGCAGTCAGTGCCCAGGAGGAAGGGAATGCTGAGGTGGCAAAGTGGCCTGGACAAATGGCCCACGGGCCACTGTTCCCTGGATGTGGCCTTTGAGTCTGCGGGAGTGGCTGAAGTGAGCTGCCCGGGGAATCAGGTCCAGAGGGAAGTGGGCCAGGGCCACCACTGGGAACTTTGAATCTTCTCTGGGTAGAGGGGGCTGGAAGGCTTTTGTGCGGAGTTGTCTTGTGATTGGATCGCTGCTCTGGAAGGGCTCTGCCGGAAGTGGTGAGGATGAAGGATGCTGGGAGGGAGGCTGGAAGTTGGGAGACACCAGGTGACTCAGGCCATGAGGGGCAAAGGGCTAGAAATAGAGACTACATTTATTCCTTCCCTGGCCACGGATTTATTGGGTGCTCACTATATATTAGGCATTAGTAAGCAGACAGGATTTTGAGGGGCAAGACACTTGAAGTACCAGAAATTCCAAATAACCCAATGTATGTAGGGTGCAGTGACGCATGCCTATAATTCTAGAAGTCTGGAAGGCTGAAGCAGGAGAGCTACAAGTTTAAGCCCAATCTGGGCAATGTAGAAAGACTCTGTCTCCAAAAAAAAAAAAAAAAAAAAAAAAAAAGGCGGAGCCAGACATGGTGGCACACACCTGTAATCCCAGCTCTCGGGAGGCTGAGGCAGGAGGATTGTTGCAAGTTTGAGGCCAGTCTGGGCTACAAAGTGGCTCAAGGCCAGCCTGAACTGCATAGTGATACCCTGTCTCAAAAAGACAGCAACAAACAATCAAACAGACAATAGGAAGGAGGTGCTGGGGATGATGCAGCGTATAATGAAGGGCTTGAGTTCAATCTCCAGCACAGAAAAAACAAGAACAAATATGCCGGTTTGTGCTCTTTGCTGGCTCACAGTGGGGAGACAAGACCAGTACAGAGGGTGATGAACTCTGGAGGGAAGTAAAGGAGCTGCAGAGGCTAGGACAGGTGTCCTAAAGGTGTGCTCTGCCTCCCACTGCTCCCCTGCAAGACCTCCTCTCAGCCAGGAGGACCCCAGCAGTCCCTCCCCACCTCTGCACACCTGTGTCCTCCAGCCCCCTAATCTCATCCTGATTCCCCTCTGCCCATGGGGAGCTTGAGAGTCACTGTCCCCTCCCTGACCTTGACCTCACAGCCTGTGTCCTCAGTGAAGTGCAGGGGCAGTCCTCATTGATCTGGGTCATTTCTCCTTTCTACCTTGATTTGTTCTGCTGTGAAATGGGTCCAACAAGGAGCCACAACAGTCACATGCCTGGTACTTGGGAAGAAACCAACAAATTCTAGCCTGTGCCCCTTCTGCTGGGTTCCTTGGGCACTGTTTGTGATCTGACCTGGGCAACTGACTTTCCCAACTGAGTGGGGCCTGGCATGGGACACCTGAGCTATAAGCCTCTTGCCCATTGCATCCAAAACAACTGTGACGAGAATGGTGGGCAGCTGAGGGTGAGAGGTGGAGGCTCTTCTGGTACCTCACAGTGCTGGGCTTTCTCCTTTCCCTAGAGCATGAACTCCTGACACACAGCCAGGGTCCGGGGTTCAGGGTCCAGAGAAGGGGTTACAGCCCACATCCTGGACAGCCCTGTGCTTAAATCCTAGCCCTTCCTCTCGTTAAAGTCAGGAGTATTTTATTTGTGCAGCTCTTTGTGCTTCTATCGCCTCATTTGTGAGGCAGGTGTTGCTCGGGACCTCACTGGACCGCTAAACATCAGATGAGAGGTTGTGCTGGCAACGTCTTGAGCATGGGGCCCGGCACTTGGATGCGGTAAGCAAATGTGAACTCATCAGAATGAGCCGTGAGCTGAGCGTGGCGGTGCCTGCCTCTCAGGCAGGAGGATCAGAAGTTCAAGCCCAGTGTGGGTGACTCAGTGAGACCCTGTTTCAAAACAGTAAATTAAAAAGGGTTGGGGATATAGCTCAGGGCAAAGGCTCTGGATCCAATCTCCAATGCTACAGAACAAAAACAACAAAAAACTGATTCAGTGAGAAACTCCACTCCAGGATCTAGTTCCCCATGTAGTACTTAGAATCCTGCAGGGGACTGAGGGAGGGTCATTTCCTAAAACAGACCCTGGGGTTCCCCGACTGGATGTGGTCTCAGCCTTAAGGTAAGCAGTCTCCACTTCATTTTTTGCCTGAATGATGACTCTCATGCCTGTGGGCTTGATCCAGTCCAAACCATTCAATAGCAGCCCAAAAGCTACAGTAATCTGTTCTCTGCCCAGGTGCTTTGGATCAAAATCCAAAATTTTCAACTACCATAAAACCCCGTGAAAACTCTTGGTAAGTCCCATCTGACCAAAGCCAAACATATAGTCCCTAACATTGCTGAGCCCTGAGCTGGAGCTCAACTGCAACCTCACGTTATTCCCTACACCTGAACCGGGCCATTTATTTTGGGGTGATATGAAGAGCCAGCCACTATCGCCCAGCCCTGAAGCTGTCTAGAACAGCTCCAGGTGGGAGACCACTCAGCCAGGAGAGGGCTCACAGCTTGGGTCACAGGACTGAGCTGCAGCAGGGAATAGTGTCAGGAGCCCATGTGGAAATGCCACCTGCGTGACAGGCTCCTCCTACAGATTTTAGTGCAGACTGCTGGGGAATAGGAAACAAGTTTTCCTGGCCTATATTTCCAGCTCGGTTGCTCTTCCCCAAGTTTGGAATGTTTTTCCCTGTTCTTTCCAAGCCTAGTGAGTTAACCTAGCTCAGAGAGCTAACATCCCAAAATGTGCATGCTTAGACCTCTTAATAGGTATTTTCTTTTGATGCCTGCCTGCTTTTCTCTTTTTTCCTTTTCTCATGCAGTTCTGGAGTTGGAACTAAGGCCCTTGTGCATGCTACAAAAATCTACCACTGAGCTCTACCTCCACCCCACTATGATTCTTGGATACATCAACTTCTCTCTCACAGGCCTGTCTTTTTTTACTGTTGTTGCTTTTTTTTTTTTTTTTTTTTTTTTTTTTTTGAGACAGTCTTGCTACATAGCTCAGGCTGGTCTTGAATTCACTATGCAGCCCAGGCTGGCCTCAAACTTGTAGACAGCCACCTACCTTAGCATTCCCAAGTGCTGAGATAACAGGTGTGCACCACCACACCCAGCTGAAAAGCTGGGTGCAAGATACTTCTACTTTCACACAGCCTTTTCCTCTTTTGTTTCTTCTTTTTTCTTTTCTTTTGTGCTAGTAGAACCCAGAACCTTACACGCCCCAGGCAAGCACCGAGTGACATCTCCAGCCTTGTCTTCTTGCATGGCTGGGATCTTTGTCTCCTTCACCTCTTTGCTCCCAGTTCCTAACTAAGCATATGGCTTACCCTGCTGACACTGCAGAGTTCTCTGTCCCTAAAGTCAGTAGTACTGTGTTCAAATCTCAGTCCAACCATTTCCATTGCCATGTGGATTTTACCTGAGTTACCCTGGGACATGCTCAGCCAGGCTTTCTCATCTGACAGATGTAATAATCTCGCCCATCCTATAGGGTTTCCATGAAAATGAAGTGAGGGAACGCAGGTCAAGTGCTTGGTGCAGTGTCCAGCACGGAGCGGAGGCTCCGGAAAGGTGGGATGAATCACACAGAGCAGAGTTTGGTGCACTCTGGTGCGACTGGTGTTGGAGGGTGAGATGCTGTCGAGATGGGAGGAGGCCCAGCTGCTGGCTGAGGCTACTTCCCTAAGAGACCCTTGGCCTCTGCCACCTACTCTCCAACAGCCTGGTGTGTAAGGTGCTCACTGATGGCCTGACACTGACAGGAGTTGGAGATAACACACAGGAACCCTCCAAAGGGCTAAGAGTATGAACAAGAAGGTGGATATAACAATGGGCTAGGTGCTGGCAGGGACTCAGTCTTCTCAACTGATAAATGGGAAGCATAAATTCTACTTCATTGTCTCTTCTTAATGTTATGAATTAGGTGTTATGAATTTTTTAAGTGTTAAGAATACTAAGTATGGGGTGGTTCAGCAGGGGAAATAAATAGGTGTGAAGAATAAGTTGGTGCTTTGTTTTGTTTTTGAGTCAGGGTCTCACTTGAACTCACTATGTAGCCTAGGTTGGCCTCAAACTCTCAGTGATCCTCCTACCTCAGCTTCCCAAGGGGTGGAATTACAGGTGTGCTCCACTATGTCTGGTGTGATGCGTGACAATTTTATGTGACAATTTGGCTAGGTTATGATGTCCAGTTGTTTGGTCAAACACCAACCTAGACGTTGCTGCAAAAGTGCTCCTGTATTTTATTTATTTATTTATTTAATGATGGGGTCTCCCTATGTTTCCCAGGGTAGACTTATGCTCTTGGACTCAGGTGAGCCTCCTGCCTCAGCTTCTCAAGTAACGCAGACATGACAGTGTTTAACATGTGAAAAAAAAGTGATTAACATTTGAAAAAAAAAGTTAACTAGATGAACTTCCATTATGTGGGTGGTACATATCTAGTCAGTTGAAGGCCTTCAGAGAAGAGACTGAGGTTTTTTGAAGAAGGACTTTTGCTTCAAGTCAGCAACCTGAGCGTCCAAGCAGGCAGGTGCTGTGTGGAATTTGAACTCAAGACAGCAACAGCAGCTCACCTGTATTTCCAGCCTACCCTACAGGTCCGTGTGTGTGTGTGTGTGTGTGTGTGTGTGTGTGTGTGTGTTTTGTTACTGGGAGAAACTTGACTAATACACCAGAAAGCAAGTAGGTGCGAGATGCCTGTTAAGCTCTTTACCTGTGTTGGATTCGCTGATCCACTCCCTCCTCCCCAAGCCCCATGACGAACTCTCTGATTTGCTCCACTTTACAGATGAGGAACTTTCTTGGGCCAGGAAGTAATGAAACTACATTTGAATCCGAGTGGGTCTCCTGCAGTGCTGCCTACCCACCTTGGAACGTGCGTAAAGACCTTAGGAAAAAGAGGCCGGACAAGATGAGGTCATTTTCCTTGTTATGCTTACTCCCGGGACAGTAGGGAGAGGCGGGTGCGCCTTCTGGGAGTCCGGACCTTCGGCTGCAGTCCCGCGAACACCCACAAGGTGGCGCCAGGTCAGGCTGCACAGCCACTCCAGGAAGTGGGCGTCGGTCGGGAGTCGGGCTGGGGAGCCCCCTTCCTCACTCCATCTAGGGTTCCCAGGCGCCGCGCCCAACGCTGGTGGTGCCCGTCTGTGGAGGCGCAGTTCTGTGGGTCCAGCCTAGGAACTGGGTCCAGCCCAGGTACCTCGGCAGCAGGTCAGTGCCCAGCTCCTTTTGGAGCCTCTGGGGCAGTCAGGTCACCACGCAGAAGCTCTGGGTAATTCTCCGCCAGAAGTTGTGACTGCGGCTGCTGAGAGCCACCTCCACTGCCTCCTGGAAGACGGCGTGGACATTGTCGTGGAGCCGCGCGGAACACTCGAGGTAGGCCACTGCGCCCACGGACCTCGCCATCTCCTGGCCCTGCCAGAGAGGGGTACATGGGGCGCAGTGAGCTGGGGATGCCAGGTGGGCCTCATGTCTGCCCTCCAAGCCCTATTAGCTGTCTCTTCTCCGGAGTCTCCCTCTCAGGGCAACAGTAGAGGTCCCCCTCATCTCCCCACTGAATCCAGGGTGTGCTCTACCACTGAACTTTATTCTCACCCCCTCCCCGTTAAAAGACAGGGTCCCACTAAGTTGCCTAGGAGGGACTCAAATTTGGGATCCTCCTGCTTCAGCCTCCCAGACTGCTGGTAATATAGGCATGGGCCACCATGCCCCGCTAAGGTGGCGGTTTTCCAGGGTACCCTTAGCTCCTGCACCCTAAATGTTCTTAAGCATTTCATTATTTCCCCAGCGCCTCCAGGGTCTCTGCCTCTCAAAAGACTTACTAATGGACTTCCGGCTAACCCAGGTAGGCAGCAGAGAGGCCTGCAGACTGAGTCGCTGCAGGGACTCTGGAGGACCAACTCGTGTGTGCACAATTCCTGGTCTTGGAAGTAGCATTTCCAAGTGCTGGCAGCTCCTGCTCCTTGACAGCCTCCAAGACAACCCTGAGTGTGCCGCATGCATAGTCCAGTGGCACAGGATCTAGGGGTGCCCGCTCCCCCTTCCGGCCTCCTACCCTGTGGTAGGTCACTGGCTCCAGCCTGTTTTTCCGCAGCTTGTTCACTAGTGCCTCGTCCTTGCGCAGGTCGGTCTTGCAGCCCACCACAATGATGGGCACTCTCTTGCAGAAGTGAGTCACCTCTGGGTACCACTGCGGGGGCAGGAGGGGGTCGGTGCATGAGCCATTGGAGTCCTGTCCATCTCAGTGGACCACTCTCCTGCTCCCCTGAGGAGCAGGTACTCAGGGCCAAGCTCTGATCTAAGTGTGCTCTCACTAACCCCAGGGTCCTAACCGAGATTCTCTAATCGAGCCCACTGTACAGATGTGGTCGGTCACCGAGGCACCGAGAGTGGCTGGGTAAGTTGGTCTTGCCACACAGTTGGGAATGGCAGGACTTGAGCCCTGTGGGGCCCAGAGCCCTGCTTCTCCCCATCCTCTCTGCGAGGTAAAACTCTCACTGCCACTTCTCCAAAAAGGTCAAATATGTACTTATTTAAAAATAAGTCAGCTTGCAAAGTGGTTGCAGCAGCTGGTGTCTGCCTCAACTGCGGGAGGGAGGGCCCTTACCGCATGGCACAGCTCTGTGGAATGGAGGCCACCAGGAATGGGTTATTTTAGCCTGGACCACAGCTGGGGTGCCAGGGATCCAAAGGGGGCTTTCCATCCCCAGAAGCACTCACAGCTGAGTGTGCCTGTTTCGGAAAAGACCGGCTCATATCGTCTGGCTCCTAAAGCCACAATGGGGCCCAGGCTGGGTGCTGGGCAGGTACCCCACACTCCCACCCATGCATGACAGCTGTCCTTGCAAAGCTCCTGGGCAACGCCACTTAAATCCAACAGGGAGTTCTCAGCAGGCTCCTACCTGAGCCCTGTACCAGCCTTGATACCAGGATCTGCCCTCCTCTGCCTCCATGGCCAGGGCTTTAAGGTACCCAGGACCCCTCTCCTGGCTCCAGGGTCTTACTAGTCCTCTCCTCCTCTCCCAGGGCTTGGACAGTGGTCTCCCCTCTCAGCTGGCTGCTCTCATTCCCTGTCCTGTACAGGAACAGGCCTGGCTAGCAGCTCTTTAGTGGCTTCCCCAGGAACGACAGGCTTCAGCCTCCGCTGGCCTGCGGACACATGCACTGGGGTGACATCCCCACTGGGGTCAGGCCTCCCACTGCCACCCCTGCCCTCCCATCCACAGCCCAAGAAGGGGCCACTCTGCCTGCCCATTGTCTGGCCCCAGCTTCCCCCTCCTACCCATGTTCATTGTATCAGCAAAACTCAGTGGCTTTGCCCTCCCAGCGGATTCAGAATAGAATCTACACCCTCTTACTGCTGCCACTGTTGGCATCCTGGTTCCAGGCACTGTTCCTCTTGGTCCAAAATGCCCAGAACAGCACCTGGCCAAGTGATGTGCTCATTCAGTAACTCTAAATACTGGACTGCCTGAGTTCAAGTCCTAGAGTTGCCACTTTAACAGATAGATACCTTTACACAAGTAATTCAATCTGGGAATAATAATAGTATCTATACCATCAGGTTGTTAGGGAGATTAAATGAGAAAAAAAATTGCAAGTGTCTAGTACAGTGCCTGGCACATAGTAAGTTTTTATTTTTTCCCTTAGTACAGGGGATTGAAACCAGGACCTTTGCAATGAACTACATCCCTAGTCCTTTTAAAAATCTTTTTCTTTTGAGACAGCATCTCAGTAAGTCACTAAGTTGCCCAGGCTGGGTTTCAATGTGCCATCCTCCTGCCTCAGCCACCCAGAATGCTACAGTTATAGGCATATGGCACCAAGCCTGGCCCATAGTGTGTTCGTTCGTTCTCTTTCTTTTTTTCTTTCTTTCTTTCTTTCTTTCTTTCTTTCTTTCTTTCTTTCTTTCTTTCTTTCTCTATTTCTCTTTTTGAGACACGGTTTTGCTATATAGTTCAGGCTGGCTGTGAACTCACTTCACAGCCCAGGCTGCCCTCAAACTCACGTAAATTCTCCTGCTTCAGTTCCCAAATGCTGGGTTTACAGGAGTGCACCACCAAGCCCAGCTTCATAGTGAGTTCTTAAGAACTGTGGCTGCAGCCATTCTGGTTGTTATTGCTAAAATTGTCCCTGGCTATGTCCCAAGGAACCTTCGAGTGTACTATCTTTCTGGAGGCCTGGAAGCACTGAGTGATCCCTGTGCCGTAGCTGGGGCAGAGGGACTCAGGCAGTAGTACTCTAATGCCTGTGAGCCGCCTCAGGGACCCCGCCTCACTGGGAGCATCTGGGGGGCCACTGACAAGTGGATGGGAGGGGTGCTGCCTCAAGCTGCTGGAATCTGACTCTATGCCGCAAGTAACCTTGGGCAGCCACAGGAGACCCCAGATCACCCAGTATTCACAGACACAGTCCCCATGGCGAGAGCCCCAGCACTCTTTCAGCACCGGACTGGGGACTCAGAGGGCAGACCCTGTCACAAGTTCCTGTGTGACTCTGAGCAACTCCCTGCCCTCTCTGAACCTCACTTTCTTCAGATGGACATTAGACTCCATGTCATTTAAGGCTTGGAAAGCACTGACAGTTGGCTGAGTCAAAGGTGGAGAGCTAAGTGGCCTCGCTCTGGCAACTGTGCCTCTCTAGGCCCCAGCACCTACCCGGTTGAAGACATTTTCAAAGCTGTTTGGGCTGGTGACGTCGAAGCAGAGGAGCAGGACGCTGGCATCGGGGTAGAACAGGGGCCGCAGGCGGTCATAGTCGTCTTGCCCTGGGCAGAGTGTGCGGTCACTCTCTCCGAATCTCCTGCCTGCTGTCAGGGAGCTCACTCCAGCAGACAGAGGCTTCTGGTGGGGCCTAGTTTTGGGCCTAGGTCAGTGTACCCTTGGGGTGATGCTAACCTGGCCTGCCCATGGGATGCACCAGCCCTGGCCTAGGACAGCTATTGGCTGAGAAGTCCTGTTCTGGCAGCAGTGGAGGCGAGGCAGAGACCAGGCCAGAGGCACTGGGACTCTGGGACTTTATCGAACTCTCATATGGGCAGCGTCAGGAGGCCAGAGGGCAGAGGTCACAGTCAGGTAGGACTTAGAGAATCAAAGCCAGTGTGGAAAGCTTGGGAGGCCCATAAAACTATTGGGTTCCAGGGCTGGGGACCTGCTCTGGGATGGGGAGGCAGGCAGACACAGGTGCAGAACTTAGGGGGCTTAGGTTCCTGGGGGGCCCCAATCCTGGCCAACACCTGTGCTTTGGAGCCAGGCTGGCCTCCTCCGCTCGGAAGGAGTGGGCTGGGCCTCCTGCACCCTGCCTGTCCCACTGCCCCCCACACTCACCTGCTGTGTCCCAGATCTGGAGGTGCACGGGTTTGCCCTTCACGTGTAGGTTGACAGCATGCCGCTCAAACACTGTGGGAGTGTAGCTCTGAGGAAGAAGGGGCGAAGCGGGCGGGCTGTGAGGAACCTTTGAGAGGGGCGGAGCAGGCCAGAGCCCAGGAAGGCCCCTAGCACTGCCCCTAGCTTGGGAGGCATTGGCATAATTGTTTCCCGGCTGGTTTCTTGGTGGCCAACCTTGGGGGAGGCCTAGTGCCCAGTGGCATCCAGGTCCTGACCCTCCCTGTCCTCCTAGTTCTTCTGGGTTACAAAAGGAGAAGGTTATGTTGGGTGTGGTGGCACATTCCTGTAATCCTAGCACTCCTGAGCGAGGCTGAGGCAGGAGAATCGCCAGTCTGGGCTACATAGTGAGACCCTGTCTCAAAAACAAACGAAAAACAGGAGAAGGTGAAAGTCCCTGCCACAGGGTGTTGCTGTATGGAGCCAGTGAGGGATTCCATGGAGAACCTTAGCACAGGGCCTGGCGCAAAACCCGCACTCGTAGATGCCAGCTACTGGCATTATTTTTGTCCTCCTGGATAGGAGGCCCCCCCACGGGGCTGGGAATTGAACCCAGGGATGCTCTGTTACTGAGCTACGTCCCCAAGCCCAGATTTTATTTTGAGATAGTGTCTCATTAAGTTGCCCAGGCTAGCTTGGAACATGCAATCCTCTGGCCTCAGCCTGTCAAGTAGCTGGGACTAGAGACAGATGCCACTGTGCTTATAAGTGGAACAGATTCCCATTTCTGAGCCTTCTTTCACCTGTCTCCTCCTTGTGGAAGCACATTAGCCTTCAGTTATTCCTTTGTTCCTTCTTTCATCATATATTCATTCGGCAAACATGAACATCTTTTCTAGGCCCAGTTCTGGACAATAAAGAACATTCGTTGAATAAGACCAACCCCCTGCCTTGGGGAATATTCAGGTTTTTTGGGTCCCTCTTTGCCTCTCAACATACATTTATTTATTTATTGACACAGGATCTCACTACATAGCCCAGGCTGGCCTACAACTCACAGCGATCCTCCTGCTTTGGCCTCCAAATTGCTGGGAATACAGGCATATGGTACCATGCCCAGTGCCTTTCAACTTCTTTTTTTTGTCTTTTTTTTTTTTTTTATTGGTACCGGGGATCGAACTCATGACTGCCTGCTTGCAAGACAGGCGCTTATGCCGCTGAGCTAAATCCCCAGCCCCTACCTTTCAACTTCTTGAAAATCAAACGAGACCGCTGTGCAATGCCATCTTCCCCAAACTGGCTTCTGGTCCTCTTCCCCAACATCCCATGCTCCTGCTTCTTGGAAGCCAGCAAAGGCTCCTCTACTCCAGCCCTGCCTGGCTTCTGTCGTTCCCTTCACATGAAGGCTGAACCAACAGGAAACAGGACAGATTTTCTACACAGATGAAAAGGCAGGGATGATGAGGGAGGTTTTGCAAAATGCAGTCTGGCCAACAGGTAAGGAGGGCTTCCTCCTCCCCGCCATGAAGTGAGCTTTGTGCCCTGAGGGGTGTGCTGGACCCCCTGCAGTTTGGGTCCCTAGGCCCTATCACATGCTCAGGGTTAACTGGTGGGGCCAGTCTTGGGGGAGCCTCATCCATCTCCTCAAGCCAGGTGCCCCCCACCCCTTTGTGAGTCACCAGTCAGCCAGCAGGAGCAGCATGCTGGCAGTAGGTCAGTGCTGTCCTCCAGGCCGCCTGGGAGGCCCCATATGGGAGAAGTCCCCACTGGTAGGGCTGCCATCTTGCGGTTCCCTCTCCCCATGGAAACAGAGAGTGGACAAGGGCTCCACCCCCTCCTTGTCTCGGAGCTTTTCCCTTCCTTTCAGGCCCTCTGCCTCTTGGGGACAATATGACTTGGCAGATAGGAGCACTGGCTCGGGGATCAGATGGGCTTGGCTTAGAATCTGATTTTGGGGTCCACCAGCTGTGTGGCCTTAACCAGTTCTGTCACTGGGCTGCCACAACATAGTAGGGAGGATGGACTGGCAGGTGAGGCCCCAGCATGAATGCTCACTATTCAGCTGGTTGTCAGGGGCAGTGTCCCCACCAGTGTCCCTCTGTCCCTCTATGTGGTGCTGTCTTCCCCAACCCTTCCCCAGCCTGACCTGTGGCCTGGAGCAGGGGTTTGCCATTAGCCCGCCATTGTGGACACATGGCACCTCCCTCTAAGCTCCCAGCATGGCCACGTTGTGAGCCCTCCCCACGTGCTGCAGGGTTGCCTGGCACGACGTTCTGGGAGACACATGCCAGGGTTCTCCATTTATGCCCATGGTGACCGTTCTGTTGCCCCCCACTTTCCACAGCCCTTTGTGGTTCCATCTCTGATTTTTACAAACTTGGACACTCAGTGCTGCCCTCGTTTTCTTAGTAAGGCCCAGAGAGGAGAAGGGATTTGCCGGAGCTGAGGAAGCATACTAGACCTCTGGCTCCTTAGCTTAGGTTCAGTCCCTAGCCACTTGCCTCTCCTGAGGTCTCTGGAGGTCTCTAATTCCTAAGGGCAGGGAAGGGCTTGTGGGTCCCCTTTGGTTTATGAAGGTCACTGCCCTCCCTGGCTCTGGAATGTGACCCTGGGACTGTGGACATTCTCTGTTGTGCTCTTTGAACCCAACCCGGGGAGGGCCATCCTCTGCTCAGGGGATCAGTCATTGCCTAACCTTATCAGCTGAGCCAAGGCAGGAGTGACTCAGCCCTAGGCCTGCCCTCATGAGGCTTCTGACAGACAGGATGAACACAGTTCAGGAGAGTGTGTCTGGGTTTCCCTGGGGGACACTTAGTGGAGACCAAGAAGGACCCAGCTTGTTCAGCAGGCAGGGCCAGGTGCTCCCGGCAGCCTCCCCCCCGCCCCCACCTGGTTGAGGCCACTGGGCTTGGGCCCTGCGGGAGTGGTCATGTTTCCAAATGCCAGTCAGGACTGGGCAGCGGGCTGCCTTGCAGGCCTGGGGTCCCTGCCTGCCCTCTCTCCCCATCCCTTCCTCCCCCTTGAGCCCACAGCTTGTTCTCTGCCGTCTGCTACAGTCAGGAAGCCTCGGAGACCCCAGGCCTGAGCAGGGCTGCCTGGAGAAGAGGCTGGGAGGCTGAGTCCAGCATGCACAGTACTGAGGACTGTGACCAGGGCTGGGAAGGCCATAGCAGGGCCATGGGCCAGGAGGCAAGACTCTGCCTGTCTGACGTCACTGTTCTTACCTGTACAATGAAGCCTGTCCAGCTTTTGAATTTTATGGTGATTTAAAAAAAGAGGCATCTCTTTGCACCAGGAGACCCAAGGTTCCCAGACAAGGACAGAACTCTGATAAAGTGTGGATCCCTGCAGTGACAAGCATGCCCTCCTCTCCCCTGGCCACCCCAGCATCTGCTCTAAGACATTCACAGTTCTTGGGCTGCAAGGCACCCACTCTGCAATTAGGATGGCTGTCTCCACCAACGCTGTGACCATCAAGCGGATCTGATTCAGGATGTCGGTGAGATGCGGCCCCTCCCAGCCCCAGTGTTTTAGGTGCCCTCCCCCCAGATCCTCCTAACTGTGCCATAATGCTGGGTCAGAGTGCCATAATGATTGGGTTCCCATAGGCAGTATCCAGGGGCCCGGAAACACTCTCCGAAACTTTAAAATCCATGTATCTGGCCAAAGGAGGTGACGTCAGCCCCATAAACCACAAAAGTAGCTCACTGCTGCCACAGAGAAAAGCAGGCCCAGTGCTGCTTGTAGGCCCAGCCTCTCCTGCCTTCCATCAGACCCCCAGCGCCTGGACCACTCGGTGGACAGGAGGACACTGGGACAGGGAAGGAGGAAAAGAAAACACAAACTCACAGGGTCCCATGGCTCCTACTCTTTCTGAAGCCCAAAGAGGTGGAGCCGGTGGGGTCCAGCCTCTGCTCCTGGCCGGGGACTTGGTGACTGCTGAGTCCAGCAGTTGTTGAGCATGTTGGGGAAAGACTGACCCTTGACAGGCTCAGAGCACGCAGAATGCACCAGATGCTCAGTGGAGTTGTCCCCATCAGCTGTCTATTACTTCTACCCCGTGGTGCTGCAGTACGGACCAAGCCACTGAGGGGTACTGGGTTCAGTAGGAAAACTGAGGTGCCAGTCCAGTTGTCCAACTCCAGGCCTGGTGGGCTCTTCTCCCTCAAGGTGGGGCCCTGGGGTTAGGCACCGTAGGCGGCAAGGATAGAGAAGTGACCCAAGCTGGGTGTCTAACTCTGTGAGTCCTTCTGCAGTGCAGGCCCGGAGCTGAGCTGAGCTGAGCGCTTGACCTTTATCAACTCCCTCCCCTGCTAACTCAGGTAGGTGCTAGCGTTATTCCTATTAATCAGTTAAGGAAAGGGCACAGAGAGAGCGAAGAATTTGCCCAAGGGCACACAGCTGTAAGTGGCAAAGACATGATCTGAAACTTGCCAGTCTGGCTTCAAAGTCGGTGCCAAGTGTTCTCCTAGGCCCTGCTGTGTACCTAGGTGGCTGATTCAGTCCCTGGGACAGCCCTTCCAGGAAGGTGCCAGTTTATAGAGAGGGTCACTGGGGCCTTCCCTCCCAGTGGCTGAGGGGGTGGGGGGAGGACTCTGTCCTTAACACTAGGCCCTCCTGGCGGACCCCCTGGGAACCCGGGGTTGCGCACCCGGGTGGCTGCGATGGGCAGACAGGGCACAGTGGAGCCCCGGAGCCCGGCGACCCTAAGGCCCTGGGCGACCCTAAGGTCCTGGGCGCAGGCACTCACCTCGGGGAAGTCCCCATTGGTGAAGACCATCAGCAGCGACGTCTTCCCGCAGCCGCCATCGCCCACCAGGACCACCTTGACGGACCTCACACTGGCCGGCGCCTCCTCGCCCGTGGCTTGGGCCGTCTTCATCCCGGGTGGGCGGAGAGGGGCCCCGGCGCGGAGCGGAGCTGCGGACAGACGGACGGCGGGCTGCGCGTAGTGGCGGGCGGGTGCGGGGCAGGCCCGGCGGGGCAGGAATGTGGAAGGGGCGGGGCGGCGGGAGGAAGTGCGAGCCGGCCGGCGGCTGTCCCCGGTGGGTGGCGCGGTCCCCGGCCCAGGTAAGAGGGCTCAGTCCGTCAAGGGCACCCGGCGAGTGGCGAGGCATGCAGAGCTGGGTGGGGACGCTTTTCCTCGGGTCCCATTCAGTCACTCAAGCAACACTTGTTGAGCACTTACTGTGTGAGGGCACGGAGGCACAGGAAGGCATCCTGGACTTGTAGCTGAAGTGAACGAAGGGTGGGCGCGGGCCAGAGGAGGAGGCACCCCGCTCACTTTCTCTGGGAGGAAGGAGGTGGCGCTAAGGGTGGTGACCTTTGCTGAATGAATGAATGCATGTGCATTCCTGCGGGCCCAGGTGGTTCAGGCTGGAGGAATGGGGTGGCTGACTATGCCCTTGTGGGCCAGTGTGTTGGTACTACCAGGCCTCCTCTGCCCTGCCCTCCTTAACCAGCACCAGGAAGCTTGTCTGCCCATGGATGATCACCTGTGCCACCCTGGCTGGTGTGTGACCTAAGGTCATTGACGGAAGCTTCCATTTTTAAAGTGCTTAGGACACTACCCAGCATATGGTGGAGGCCATGGGTCACTGTTAGAATTCAATCAACAGAGATGAGCTTACAGGTTCCAAGAGCCTGAGGACCCTGGATCATTCAAGACACAGCCCCTGCCTTGGGGAGCTCAGAGCCTAACATGCAAGCCCGGGAGGACATCAGAGTGCTGGGGTATCTGGGCAGAGGAACAGTGAGTGAGTGGGACAAGAGTGGGGAGAAAGGGCCCTTCACCCTGGCTGCAGAGTCAGGAAACCCTTCTGACCTGGGAGCCCAGGGTCTTGGGGGAAGACAAAGCCCAGACACGGAAGGGAAAAGGATTTTCCAAAGGAGGGAACCCTATTGCAAGGCTGGGGGGCCTGCCTGAGCAAACCCCTGCTTCCAGCCTTTCTGGAAGCAGCCAGAGGGCCAGGCTTAGCGAGACACTGTGGCTGCCAGGAATACATCAGACTGAAACTTGCTGTCCCCCTACCTTTCTCTCTCCCTCGGTGGCCAAAGTTTAAGTCTTTTAAACATGGGCACAGTGTCAGCCCAGAGCAATGGTGGTGATCCCATTATCGTGTGTGTTTTTAAGACAAAGGTGTTAATGTATGGATTTTTTTTCTCCTAAACTAGAACTTCCAGTTTAATTGTAGTGTTGGCACTTTGTGGCAAATAAGTGGGTTTTGGGTTGCAGTTTGGCACTCGTTTCTAAAATGTTTTCTTTTGCTGCCTAGAGCTTGGACATTGTAATTCCACTAAAGCTTAAAGGAACAGGGGGCCCAAGTCTTTGGGTTTCTACTCTCAACCCCTATGGAATTCAATGCCAGGCAGTTGAAAATCTCCTTAAGTCCCCTTTGATGTTGTTTTTCTTGGTGCTGGGATTGAACCAGTACTAAATTACATTCCCACCCCACCCCTTTTTTCACTTATTTTAAAACAAGATCTCCTTAAATTGTTAAGTTGCAAGTTTCCCAGGCTGGGCTCAAATTTGTGATCCTCCTGCCTCAGCTTCCTAGAGCTCTGGGATGCCAGGTGTGTGGCACCATGCCCAGTTTTAGCCCCCATGGAACTTCACTGTGCCCCACAGGGGCAGTCTGGATAGGAGTCACTGTTCCCAGAGCAGGGAGAGGTGGTGTCCAGCTCCCCAATTCCTGTGCCTGGCCCACCTTCAGGGCTGTGGTCAGCAGGCTGGATCAGGCCTCACCTGGAGGCAGGGTGCCTCCCCTGGAAGGTGCCACCCTTTCCTCCTCGAAACTGCTCTAGGGCTAGGGAGTGAGCAGGTACCAGGCTGGGTACTTAGCTCCCCGCCCCAAGGAGTGGTGAGGAATGGGCCCTGTCCCCTGACATCAGCTGCCAGCCTTCTTGTCATTCCGTCTGCTCCCCACTGCCACAGTAGTCAGGCAAGGTGGGGCCGGTCGAGCGCGGAGGGAGCTCAGAGTTGGGCAGAGGCGGTTGTCCCTGGTTGCTATAGGGATAATCACTCTAATGACACACTTGGCGGCTGTCACGAATTACAGTTTCTCTGAACATTTCCTAATAATAACAGCACCCATTAGTGGATTGCAAACCACATGCAGGCCGAGTTCCCCAGGAGGTAGGAATTGTTAGCCCCATTTTACAGAGGAGGAACTTGGGGCTTAGACAAGTTAGGTTCTTTTCTAAGGTTCACAGCTGATAAGAGGCCAAACTGGCATTTGGATCCCAATGTTACCCGGGAGCAGGACTCTCCTCCAGCAGCACACCATATGCGTTACAGCATTTGGCACTTGATGGTGAGGTGAGCTGGGCAACCATCTGCTCCCCACCAACCCCCCTGATTTTACAGGTTTGGGACTGAGCCTCAGAGAACGCTGCTTATCTTAGGTCAGCAAGCCGCAGAATCAGGATGTGGTCCCTGAGGTGAAGCTCAGTCTTGTTCCCATCTACTGCTTGTGCTTCCAGAGGAGGCAGATTAGTCTCTGGGTTCCAGCCATCAGCCCCAGTGGCAGGGGATTCCCCCAGATTTCAGACATTGCTGGGCTCTGGACCACACTGTTGTCCTGAGTTTAATTTTGGAGCAGGGAGGTGGCTCAGGTCACAGTCTGCCTGGCCAGGGTACCGCAAGCTGTTTTACTGTTTACTGTGGCTGCTGCTGACTTCCGGCCCTTGGGTGACTAAGTCTCTTTCGCACCCCTCCCCCCAATTCCAAACACAGAGTCTTTATAGTAAGTCCTGTAGGTCCCAGAAGAGCAAAAGTGGTCAAGTCCTTAGTCTGGCTTGTCGCTTCCTTGGGATGCTGGTACCAGACAGAATCTCAGCCCCCAGCCAGGCTGTGACCTTCTCCAGGGCAGGGACCACAGATGGACACTTCCCAGCAGCTCAGGATATTGTGTCCAGCTGACTGCCTGACTGGACAAACAAGAGAAGGGAGGGATAAGGACAAGTGAGGAAGAGAGGAGGAAGGAAGGAAGATGGGCAGGCTCAGAAGAAATTCAAGTAGGCTGGGCATGGTGGCACATGCCTGAAATCCTAGTACCCTGGAGGCTGAGGCAGGAGGATCACTGCAAGCTTGAGGCTAGCCTGGGCTACAAAGTGAGTTCAAGACCAGCCTGAACCGCATAGTAAAACGGTGTCTCAAAAAGAAAAAAAAAAGGAAAGAAATTCAAGAAATGAGCAAAGGAGCAAATGCTTGCAAGGATCATCCATGATTAGGGTGGGGATGGTCCTTCAGACAAGGATCTCTGCCTCATTTTGTCTCCTCCCGCACCTCCCTGAGGCCAGAAGTCAGATTGTCCCATTTATTCTCTGCTGCCCCCTTGTGGCTTCTCTGCTCTCTGCACTGTTGTCATCCAGCCCTTCTGCTCTGTCTCTGGTTCCTAGCTATGGATGTAGGATTAGGGTTAGGGTTGTGGGAGGGTGAATAAGAGGGCGTTCTAAGTGATGCTAAGGGGGCAGAACTTCAGAGGTCCAGTCCTGCCCCTTGGGATGCCATGGTAGGGCACATGGACCTTGGAGTGTCGTTTCGCCAAGGCTTGGCCTTGTTACCTGTCATGTGCTGGACACGGCATGTGATTCAATTCCTCTCATGAGGTGTGTGCAAGGCTCCTTTACAAACTAGGAAACACAGGCCTAAGATGATGCATAATTTGTTTAAGACCCCATGGCTGGCGAGTGGAGGAACTGGAGCTTGAACCCAGGCAGTTGGGTTCCAGAGCTGCCACTCCCCTCTAAGCCAAAGGTGTGGGGGGAGGGCTTTGCTGGCCTTCTCCTCCAAAACCTTGTTTCTTCAGATGAGGAAACTGAGGCCTCGAGAGAGGAAGGAACATGTCACTCAGCATGTAAGCTGCAGACCTAGGTCTGTGCCAGGCATGGACCCACAGGCTGTTTTTCTCCCAGCAAATCTACCTTTTACACTGCCACAGTCAGCTGTCCTGGGTGGCATGGGCAGACTAGCAGTTGGGCAGAGAGAGTGAGGGTGCGCTGTGGGTTGGTCTCAGTGCTTATGTAGCCTTTTAACTAATCTGTCCCTTGGGGTGTCTGCAGGCAGAGATGAGGGTCACAGGTGGGGAGAGGAGTGGCTGCAGTACTGCAGTGGCACCTCGTTTCCTCCAGCCGCACTGGCCTGGTCCAGGCAGTGGCCCTGGGCGGGTCAGTGACTTACACATCTGTCTTTCTGGGTGGAGCCCCAGACTGGGGGAGTAGCGGAGAGGAAAGGGAAGAGGGCTGGAGGTCTGAGGACGATCGGGATAGGTGGAAAGGTTAGGGCAGAGAAGGGGGACAGCTTCTCTCGGCCTCGGTAGCCCTGCTTCTCTCCTAAAGGTAAGAACCTTGCTGAGCGGCCCCCAACCTAAAAGGAGCTCAGAGGCCACCTTCCTGCCCCTTGCAGGAGCAAGGCTTGCTGATGGTCCTCTGTGTCCCCTCTGCAGCTCCTTAGAGTGACCCTCAGCCTGCCTGGACCTGCTCCCAGCCAGAAACCACACCCCCCACTGCCACCAACAGGATGGAAACTTCTGTTTTACCTGGGCTGCTGGAAGCCCTCATGGCCCCTCTCCTTGGCTTCTGAGCCTCGGTCCAGTTATCTCCCAGACACGGCTGGTCTCCTCTGCTCAGGTGCTCTGAGGCTGTTGCCCACACCCCTGCCTGCTCCAGGAGCCTCTGGTCTCCACCTTGCTCATGGATCCCTGATGGCTGTCTAGTCAGTTCTCTGTTCACCCAGACATGCTGGCGGCGGGGGTGGGGGTAGGGGGTGGTCCCCAGAGCTCTTCACAGTCAGCCATGTTGGGGAAGGCCTCTCTTCACCCTTGCCCATGTCTGATCTTCCAGGGAAGAGGTCAGAACATGCTGGCACCCCAGAGACTTTCTCTGCTGTCCCTCGGGCCCACTTTGAGAGTCAGGGAAAGGGGCTGTATTGTCCAGTGGCCAAGAGCACAGCTTCAGACAGCCTTGGTCTGAATCACCGTCCTGGGACCTTGTGGCTGTGTGATCTTGGGCTAGTCACCTAAGTTCTCTGAGTTGGTTTCTACATTTGTGTGAAGGGGATGCAGTAGCAGCACCTACCTGCTTGTGAAACAGGGTCACAGGCTGGGCACCTGTCACCTGTCACTCCACAAGCAGGGCCCCTCTCTCCTTGGGACCTGCCCTCTAGCTCCATTCTCTGCCCCACCCCCCCCTGCTCTCACAAAGTGGATGAATCACTCCAATTTTGCTCACCCCTACCCTTTGATACGTGTTACTCTCTACCAGAAATCTTTTCCTGCCTTACCCACCTGACATGTCCTTTTATAGCCTGGGGGCTCAGCTGAGTGCTGCCAGCTACAGTCTTCTGTAATTTCCCTATCACCATCTTCCCTTGCCAGGACTGGCTCAGGGTTCCCTCAGAGCTTCCCAGTGAGCCGATGAAGTTGTGCTGGTCTCCCCAGCCAGGCAGAGCCTGCATGCCTCTTTGGACACCCAGAGCAGGGAGGAAGGGCAGTCATCCCCATGGGGTCCAAGACCCTGCTTCTGGAGAAGACACAAAGATGATTGGGACTGAGCAGGGCTCCCTAGAAGCCCCCTTCCTGCCCCAGCTTTATTTGGTTCTAGAATCATTCCAGTCAGCATTCTCAGTTCCCACCACGGCCACCCTGGCTCCATGGTCACCATTTCATGCAGTTAGGAGGGAGATATGAGGGAAGAGAAGGTAGGAGGACATGGCCTTCCCTACAAGGCCCCAGCGTTCAAAAGGTTTTGGGGTCTCCCAGGCTACAGGGGCTCCCCAGCCATGCATGTCCCTGTGCTGACCTGGTGGTATCACGAGGTCCTGTTCCAGTCCCACAACCCTCTGAACCCTGTTCAAGCCATCTCTTGCCATGTCATTGGTGACAGTGGCCTGGGTCTCCGTAGCTCACTGGAGCTAAGGAACAGGACAGCCAGCCTGAGAGTTCCTCACTTACCCGTGGGTGGCCCCAGATCAGACACTGCTACTGTACATCCCATTCCTGACCCTCTATCCCTTTATCCCTGAAGGGACTCCCCTCCTTCAGTAGAGAGGTCCTCTGGGTCTGCCTTTGCTAGATGACAGCTGCTGCTCCTCTAGTGACAGGTGCAGGGAGTATGACACCATCACTACACCTGGAGCAGGGGCAGAAGCCAAAGACTGATGTACCAACCCAGCCCTTTTGCTTCTGGGCAGGATCCCCAGGCTGCTGTTCTCCCCTCCAGAGCACCCCATTGCCTTTGCTAACATCTGTTGAACTCGAAGGTTTAGGGAATTTGACCCAAGATGCCCAGTGTCCCGGAGACTGCATCCAGGCTTGCCCAAGGCGTCTCTTCCTGGCAGAGCCTGGTCCGCTGGTGGAGTAGAGGCTGATTTTGCACAGGACCTGCACAAGGACCTTGCTATTGGCCTATGCACTTCTGGTTTTTGTGTGATGGTTGATGCTCCAGGCGAATATTTCATGGACTGTAACCCTGGAACTCCGATGTGGCCTGAAGCCTTCTGCTCGACTCTGGTCTCTTGGTCTCTTTTCCAACCCAGAAGCAGGCTCTTGTCCCCACTGTGTGAACTGAGGACTGTGCTTGTGTCAGGAAAGTTCAGAAGTTCACTTTTTTGCTACTCCTTGAGCTGTGCCTCTGCCTGGGTTTTTCCTCCACCCCGCAGAGCACAGCTCCTTCCTGTCAATGGGGCCCTCCCTGTCCCCCAGTTCCCAGAGCCCACTCTGAGTCCGCATGGCTGGACTGCCCCTGGGCACTGAGCAGATCCCCTGGGTGGTGGGATCCTGACTTCCTGGTAAGCCGGGGGCTTCTTTTTGTTCATGAGGCCCCTGCCACTGCCTAGCACAGTGCTGACTCCCGAGAATCACCCATTCCGGTGCATGGCCAGCCTGACAGCTGGCCTCCGAGGAGTGGGGTGGGGAAGCTTGCCTGCTCTGGGAGCCAAGTCTTCCTGCAGGTCCAGGGGTGACTCTTGTGAGGACTTGTGAGGACTTCCGGATGATACACAACTGGCCAGCATCTGCTGCCCTCTGGTGGGCCCTGGCCCAGCTAGAGCCAGAGCTTGTCCTCAGTGAGAGAAAACTCTGGTTTCCAAATGTAGAGGTCCACCTGTTCCTCCACTATAGTCTGGACAGAGGGTCCAAGATGACTGATGGGGACTCCACCCAGGAACCCCAGCAGTCATGGCTCCAGCTGGGCTATGAAGAGGGCTATGGATAGAGCTGAGTGTGTGCCAGGTCCCAGTGGCTGTGCTGCCCACCTGGCCTGCTCTGGCTGCTAGTTTCGCCGGACTGGGTGCCACATGGACACGGGCCTGCGCAATGTGGCCAGCATCTGATTCCAGTGTGTGGTGCCCATGCCACTCGCCGATGGCCCAATGATGACATGGCCCACGTTGTCACCACGGCCGTCACTGCTGCTCTCGGCTACTGTCACACGGAGAGACAGGTCCTGGGAAGGAGGGAACATGGATGCTGAGGACCAAGAGTTGCCAGAGATCTTCCTTGTCTCCTGGGTCCCAGCCTATAAGTGTCCGGCCTCATGGGGAGTCAGGCAAAGCTCCCTGAACCCACCCCCTGATCTAGGACATGAGAAGACTTGTCCAGAGCCACCTGGCAAAGACATGGCAGATGAGGATTTGGCCTTCCTTCCAGATAGTAGTGGCACCAGACCACCAGGGTTCAGACATCAGCCTAAGCACTTCTTGTTGTGTGACCTTGGGCATCAATTTGGACTCTTGCTACCTGTGTCCCCATGGTAAAATGTGACAGGATCCCTTACCTCAGAAGGCTTTCCAGGAGTGAAGTGAGTTAAATGAGTGGAATGATGTCTGCCCACAGGCAGGGCTCCGTGCTCTGGGTATCGCTAATCCTTAACGGCAGTTGGAGTAGTGGCACTGTGATTGCCCAAGATGTGGCAAGGGTCAGATGGGCAGTCTGTTCCACAAGGATGGTAGGGCAAGGCCACAATGCCCAGGATTGGTGGAGAGGCTGGGACATCGGTCTGGATTCGGGACCCCCAGCATGAGGCTGAGTTCTGGGCTTCCCTATGCAGGTGGGGCATCCCAGGAAAGGGAGGTCAAGTAAATGCTGTATAGCTCCAGGGCTATGATGCAGGTTTTGACCTAAGGCCTGGAGTGCTGATGGCTAGAAGCAGATAGTGAGGGGAGGTGGCGAGATCACCATCTTCTAAGGCATGTAATCAGGGCCACTGGTGTAGCCAAAGCTGTGTCTTCTGCATTCCTTCACCATGGTCTGTGATGTTTCTGCTGGGAGGGGTCTCTCTAGGGCACAGGGTCTTCTAGAAGCTGTGGGGTGTGGGGAGCTGGGCAGGATTGTTATAGTAGGAGTTCAGGAGATTGACCCTGGGGTTACCCCTGCTCCAGGGCCTACAGATCCCTTCACTCAGCTGAGCTGGCCCATCCTGCAGGAAGCCCTCACTTACTAAGGTCTGGGATGCTCTTAGCAGATTAACATTATCTGGGGACTTTCCTGCCTGTCCCTTGTAAGCACCCCAACATCCACCCCAAGGCTGGCACCCAGCAGACACTCAATAAATGCTTCTCAACTGGTGGCAGGAGCCCACAAAGTGAAGCCAGGAGGTGCGGTGACCAAAGCCCAGGCTGACCTGTTCCCCCTCACCTGGAGCACAATGGCTGGCACTGAGAAGATCATGGCTTCATTGAACACTGGGTTGGGGTCATCTCTCTTCACTGCTGTCTTCTTTTTGCTCATCTTCCTCCCATCCTGCAGCAGGTACACCTTGACGAAGGGGTCTGAGGGTGGGCAGGGTAAGGTGAGGGCCAGAGCCACACTTGGTTGGCAGAGCCCTGGCCACTCTGGCTCAGTCCCCTAGCTCCAGCTCCCCAATCCTTTATTCATTATTGTCACTATCACCAGTAGCTTTGCCACTGGGACTTCATGATTTTGTCTGTTTAAGGAGATGGGATCTCACTATGTCACCCAGGCTGGTCCTAGACTTGTAGGCTCAAAGGACCCCTCCTGCTTCAGCCTTTTGAGTAGCTGGGACCACAGGCGAGCACTACAGTGCCCAGCTCTATTGTATTTTAAATATCCCATTTTACAGATGAGAAGACTGAAGCTTGCATGGCAAGTCAGGCAAAGGGCTGGACTTTGGATTGGCAGCCTGCCTCACAGCCCACGCATTTCCCTCACATGATGCTCCACGGAGCTCGGCAGACCCATCACTTCCTGTTCTATAAATGGCTGAGCACAGACGTCAGCTGTGAGTCACCCAGTACCACCTCAGCAGGGCCTAATGGTGTACAGCTCTGAAATACCAAGTTCCCGTCTGGCCATCAGCTGTCGCCCACTGGGTGTTCCTGCAGCGCATGCCTGAACCTGGGCAGCCCCCACCTCAGGCTTGCAACTCCCTGTGGTCGGGGTTCTCCAGCCCTCTGTCTGTGGCTACCTGTTACAGTTGCCTTCCTGGGTCCCTGCTTTGGGATGTACTGGAAGCTCTCTGCTCTCATGTGGGGAGGGGTGGGGGGGCTGGTACCTTCCGGGGTTCCCATGTTTCCCAGCTGGATTAATCTCCCCACCAGCCATGCTTGGCTTTTGAGCTAAGCTGAAGCTATGGGATTCCTGGCCCCATGCCGCCCACATGGTGAAGTGGCCAGGTGCCCATGACACATGGTTGGGTCACATGGTGGCGCCAGGCATCCAACAGGGCCTTACCTGCTGTGGTCTTGTCATTGGTCCAGATAAGATTCTTGGCCTTCACCACCACCACAGTGAGGCGCTCGGCTGTGGGCAGGTAGCTGAGGGACAGCAGGATCTCCCCCACCGCATCTGCAGCCTGGGGGAGGGGCAAGGGTGGCTCAGAGGGCTTTTGGCCCCCAGGACCTGAGAAGTCCAGGGAAGAGTGGAAGCTTTCTTCTCCATCGAGAAGTTGCTGCTCTTGGGGCCCCTTACATCCAGGCACTGGGCTGGCAGGGTGAAGAAAGGAGTGGCACACCCCTGCCACACCATGAAGCATGTACCACCCCTCCTCCATGCCAAGTGTGGCCCCTGCCTTGGAAGGAGGTCCAGAGGTTGCCTTTCAAACATATCAATCAACTGTGATTTTGTCTCCTCCTTCTAGGCTGAGAAAAAAAAAACTTTCTATGATGGTAGTGCATAGAGATCCAAGTAGACTGGAGTTACATTATTCGCTTAAATGACAATTTATGTACCCCTGGCATCCTTACACTTATAAAGACAAGCTGATGCTTGTCTGCTTTGGAGCCAGAGCTCTGTGTCCCTACTGGAGCTTGTAAGAGTGGCCTTAGCTGTGGCAGAAAGGGCAGTGGAGTGGAAGTAGTTGGAAGTGTACGTGTTTATGCTCTGTCTGGAGGTGGCCACGCAGGCCAGGCAGGTCAGACTTACCTTGTTCTGGTCCTGTAAGTAGAGCCAGCCACCAAAGGGCTGCAGCGGGAGGTCGAGCACAGACAGCTTGAGCTCTACCACCCCCGTGCTGACATTCCGCTCGTCCTCATCAATACCAAACACAGAGAACCGCAGGCTCTTCTCCTCCAGGGCTGTGGGGTCCAGCGGGATGGAGAACTTCTCATCGAAGAAGATGGAGTAGGCATTCCTCTGGATCTACAGCAAGAAAGGGCCGTGGCAAGCACATGAAAGCTGAGGAGGAGGTAGCAACCACGGGTGTGGAGGCCGCAGCAGGGAGAGAGCACTGGACACTGAGCCCAGAGGCAGACTCCTGGCTGTCATGTCCCCACAGTCTCAATAACAAGCCTTCCTTAGATGGCTCGGTTTTATCTTTTTTTGTTTTTTTTTGTACCGGGGATTGAACTCACGACCGTGCATTTGCAAGGTTTAAAAGTTCCATGTATCCTCTTCCATGGTGACAGATATGGTGGTGTGGCATTCAGTGCTCCCATTGAGCCCAGTGATTGGGCTTAGTGCCTGTGGCACCAGAGCCCTCGCAACGCTCTGTGGGAGTCGATCTCGGTCTCGCATCTACTCTAGTCCTGCCTGGGTCGGACATGCAGTGGGCCTGGGACACTTGTCAGGGAGTCACCAGCCCTTGAAATCCCAGGCCTATGTCAACCCTGAATGGATGGCTGGATGGAGGGGCAGACAAGTGGATGGAGAGACTAGGCAGGGCGGGGGAGGCCCCGTTTCTGAGCTCAGTTCTGCTCAGTGGTTGCCACTGGCCTCCTCCCAGGGAGCTGTGGGCAGGTCCTTGGGCAAGGCACACATACATGCTGGCCCTGCCCCCCACCTTGTGTGGGGGACTGCCTTAGTCACGGCCCATGATATTTAAAGAGAGGAGTTCTCATTCCTGGCACCTTCCCTGAAGTAGGAGGGCTCCCCTGCATGCAGCAGCTGCCCACTTGGTTGGGACTGGCTGGGCCATGGTGCTATGAAGCCTGCCTTCCTGGGAACAAATTCTCCACTTCCTCCAGCCACCGTGGCCATACTTTTCTGTCACTTCCTGGTTCTTGTAAGGTTCTTCCTACAGTGACCTTCAGGTACCATATTGCTCATGTAGTCCCCTCCTTGGCCCCATGGATAAAGCCCACCTCCTGGGCTCCTGACCTTGACATTCAGGCTCTTTGTGATTTCTAGCCCTATCTCTGTCCTGGCCAAACTGTTGCCCACAGGGGCTCAGGCCCCCAGTCACCCATTGTCTGAGCATTGTGCTTTATGGGCACATGGGTAAGGGAATGTGAGTCCCTGGTCTCCTGCTCACTCTTTTTTTTTTTTTTTTTTTTGTCTTTTTCCTTTTTATCGGTACCAGGGATCGAACTCACGACTGCCCGTTTGCAAGGCAGGCGCTTATGCCGCTGAGCTAAATCCCCAGCCCCTGCTATGGCAGTCTTGAGCAAAGCACTTCCTAAGCCTCAGTTTCCTCATGGATAACCTGCCTCAACAGCCTGTCCTGATGACCTCAGGGGACTAATGTGAGATCATGAATGCAGTGGGCTCTGAGGGGCAGGTGCTTACCTGTGAGTACATCAGGCTGTGGTGCCCATTATCTGCTGGTGTCCCTCCTCAAGGGATATGTCATAAATGACCCACAGTCCTTCAGGTGGCCTAGCCCATGGGAAGCATGGATCCATCTTGACGGCAGCTTTTCCATGTCCCAAAAGCCGCATGAAACATTTACTGGGGAGGGGGCTGAGGACTTGAGCTGAATTAACCCTTTCCTCAATGACTGGTGTGCATTTCACAGATCACTGAGTGCTTACGTGACTTAGGCAAGGTCACCCAGCTAGAAAGTGATGGAACTGGGGTGTGATCCTCACCTCCCACTGTACTGCCTCTGGGAAGCTGGGCCACCCAATACCCCTGGGTGGCCCCCACTAATAGCAAGTTCTACACTTTCTAGGGTAAGGTGGCAGAATGGGGTAAAGAGCGATGACAGGGCCAGCCAGCCAGTGTTCACTGTGGTAAAAGTGACCAGGCACAGGTGGGCACAGATATCTGGGAGAGTCAGAAGACACTTGGGTCCTTCAGGTCCTCACGCTCCTCCCATCCTGGCTGGCCACTGTGCCCATCTCGGAGGGCTCCCAGCTATGGAGTCTGGAGCCTAGAGCTGCCCGCTGCTGGGCAGGAGGGTATGGCCCATGTGGCGCTGACTTCTTCTATCAAGGATCAAGGACTCTGGCCTCTTTCCTCGCCTCCTCCTCCTCTTCCTTCTCCTTTTCCTTCTTGTCATACTGGGGACTAAACCCAGGACCTTCACACTGAGCTACAGCCTCAATCCTTTTTATTTTTTGAGACAGGGCCTTCTAAGTCATTAAATTGCCCAGGCTCGGGTAGAACTTATAGTCTTTCTGCCTCAGCTTTCCAGAGTGCTGAGATTACAGGCGTGTGTCACTACAGCAAGCCTCCATTCTGTGTTTCTTTACTTTGCTGTGGGCTCCAGGGGCTGGCACACAGACCTCCATGTCAACTTGCCCCCTTGGCCTCTGCCTTTCAGTAGGGTCAGGTACCAGGGTCACTAAAGGGAAACTGAGACCCTTCTCTGTAGTATTGCTGGAGACTGACCAAATCCCTTGACTGCTGGGCACAGATCCCATCAAGGGGGCCCTGTCCCTCACTTTCCCTTTGTCCCTTCAGACCTCCCATTAATAGGCCCAGGGTAGCACCCGCCTCCTCACCCACACTGCAGTCAGCAGCCCTGTCATTAAACTCTTCCTAGTTAGCCAGTTGAGTAGGTTATCCCTTTCCTGCCAGGACCCCATGGCAGGCACACGGTACTGCCCTGACAGGAGGGCTGAAGATTGCGCTCATAATCAGGCTCTGTCTTTGGAGCAAAACAATGGGCCCTGAATCTGCAGCCAGGGCTGCTCTCCAGCGCCCTCACGGACAGCATTTGGCCCTAGACAGAGGCCCTCTGCCCACCAGGACGGCGGCACTTACCCGAGAGATGCCCACAATCTGCTCATCGGGCAGCAGGCTGACGCGCATGAAGCAGGACTCGAAGCTCGCCTCCTCACGCTCCAGGAGGTCCTTGCCCTGCAGCACAGCCACGTGCAGGGTGTGCGAGGCGGCATCGTATGCCATGCTCACTTCCACCTGGCCCAGCGTGAAGTCCTGCCCAAAGGTGTTGCTCACGGAGGAGATGGAGTTCAGGGAGTCCGCCGACTGGGACTTTCGGAGGGGCCCGTAGGGGGCCAGGTCCAGCTCCCGGCCCATCAGCTCCAGCGGCCCCAGTTCACTGATGCTCTCAAAGGTGTCCTCGATGCTGAGGCTACCTTTGCGGCTGGGTGGCCCCCGAGCACTGGCCCGTGGGGCATTCCAGGCAGGCGCTCTCTGGGGGTGAGCAAAGGGGACATGGAAGCATCAGAAGCGCTACAGGTTCTGTGTTTTGTTTTTGCGGTACCGGGGACTAAAACCATGGCCTTTGCACGTAGCACAGGGTCTCACAAAGTTGCCCAGGGTGGGTGTGAATTTCTGATCCTCCTGCCTCAGCCTCCAGGAATGCTGAGGCTACAGGTATGCACTGCCATCTTTAGGAGCCAGCAAAGAGATACTATTAACTCTGCTCATTCAAGGAACCTCCAAGATTCCCCTTTTAAAACAGCGGTGCATCCCTTAGCTTAAATTCCTTATTTAATGCTATTCTGTGTTACTAATAACTGCATTGCTCATTTTCTCTCCCAACCAGAATGTTATTAAAGGTTTTTTCATGTTCATTTATTGGGATAGAATTCCATCCAGAAAGATGTCAACTGCAGGGAGGCTCATAATTTTTTTTTTTTTTTTTTTTTTTTTGAAACAAGGTGTCACTATGTAGCCCAGGCTGTCCTTGAACTACTGGCAGTTTCTCCCTGCCTGTCTCCTAAGTGCAAGGGTGACACATCATTTCTGGCTGCAGTGATGATAAAGGGAAAAACCAGTTAGCAATCTAAGTGTCCAGCAAAGGGGGAAGTGGGTTACATCATCAGGGCATGGCCACACAGTAGATGGCTGAGTAGCATCATAAGAAAATTACAAAAATGCTCACAAGAAAGTTTTCTTTGTAAGACATGCATGCCATACTCTCTGGAATTCTATACGTTTGAAACATTTTCAGCAAGTGAGTGTAGACATTCAGCACTACATGAAGATACCCCTAAAGTATCTGTACCCCCTGATACAGTAATTCCACATCTGGGCACCTATCCAAAGTATATTCCTAAAGAAGACAAAGTTTTACATGCAAATCATCCAATATATTATTCAGTGTCATTTAGTAAATCATGGAACACAGAAAGTAATCTTATGCAGCCATTGAAATGGTGTTTATGCCAGTTGTTAACCATAGAGGAAAAATCTTCAGTTATAAGTGAAATAAAGATGGGGTTGGGGATTTAGCTCAGCGGCGTAACCACCTGCCTTACAAGCAGGTGGATCCCCAATACCCATAATAAATAAATAAATAAGTGAAATAAAGAGAGTATAAAATCCATGGAAATGTGGTACCTACTATGTAAAAGTATGCATGAAAACAAAGGAGGAGGGGAGAAAGAAATATATCAAAAAGTCAGTTTAGAGCTGAGTTTGGTAGCTCACATCTGTGATTTTAGCACTTAGGGGACTGAAGAAGGAGAATCTTAAGTTCAAGTTCAACCTGAGCAACGTAGCAAGGGGCTGGGACATAGCTCAATGAAAGTGCATCCCTGGGCTCAATTTCTAGTACTGTAGAAAGAAGACAAAGGAGAGGAGAGGAAAGGAAATTTCACAGTTGGGTAGTGGTGGTATTTGGGAAGATGTTTTCTCTCTTACTTTTTTTGTTCGTTTGTTTGCAAGATGGTTTTTAAAACTGAGAGTTCATTCATTCAGCACATATCTGTTGACTTCCTGGCACTGGGCTAGGAGGAGGAGATCCGCAGGGGCACAAGGAGGTCTGGTGGCATTCCCAGGAGGATGTTAACCAGCACAGAGCCAGAGTGGGGGAGGGGTGGGGTGGGCACCCCATCATGTGCACCTGAAGGACAGGGGCCTCACCTTCGGCCTGGCTTCCGTGTCAGTCTCCCCATACTTCTGCTGAAGGTACCTGTAGTCATAATTGGGGAATGGGGAGGGGCTGGGGAAGCTTCCTGACGTCCAGAGCTTCCATAGGCTCACAGCAGCGATTCCCAGCAGTGCCAGGGCCCCTGCGGCATAGACACCCACCTCCCAACCAGGAGGGCTCTTGATGACTGCAAGGCAAGGGTAGCCTGGTGTTAGTGGGCTACAGTGGTTACAGACCCCTCCCTCAACAGGTTGTTCAGCATAGACTTAGTACAGAGTGCCTTTTTATTGAGTGCTTACTATGTGCAAGGGTCAGTGCTAGGTGTAGGGGCCTCAGTACTGGGCAAAGCAGATGAAGAGCTCTGGACTGGGTTAGATATTCTTTAGGTTTTCAACAAATAGGGTTGTTCTTGGTTCCTTGGTTCTCGAAACTTACACCCTCCAGAGGATTGTTGCTTCTAGATAATCAAAGCAGTCTTTTGGGTCTGATGGAAGAGAAGGGAGATTTGGGGGACCCTATTTTTGCCTCAAGCCTTCAGGCCAACCCAATGTCCACCAACTGATGAGCACATAAATGCACGGTGAGTATCCCTGCAACGGAATATTATCCAGCAATAAGAAGGCAAGAAGTACAGACGCTAACACACTGTTATGTGGATGAACCTTGAAAACATCATGTGGCCTGAAAGAAGCCAGACACAAAGACCACAGATTGTTGAATTCCATTTATAGTCAGCCCTGCCCCTGTGTCTGTGGTTTCTGTCTCTGTGGATTCACCCAGCCCGGATGGTTCTGTTGTCATCGGGCCGAGGATGGCTGTGTTTGTACAGAACGTGTGCAGACTTGTTATCCTTACTTCCATGTCATTATCCCCAGGCAGTACAGCATAACTACTTCTTCCAAAGCATTTACATCATGTTTCGTATAAGTCATCTAGACATGGTGTAAGGTATATGGCAGGATGAGTAGGTTACATGCAAATGCTACAGCATTTTTATACAGGAGACTTAAACATTCATTGCTTTTGGTATCTGGGGGTCCTGGACCGAATGCCCTGTAGATCCTGGGAAACACTGTCAATAGAATGCTTAGAATTTGCAAATGGAGGAAGTTAGATGGAGAATGGTTTCTTTTGTATAATGAAAAATAAAAACTGATTATACAGCTGGGGATTTAGCCTATTGGCATAAGTGCCTGCCTGGCAAGCTTGAGGTCATGAGTTTGATCCCTGGTACAAAAAAACAAAAAACAATTATGCAGCTAGTACTAAAGACCCCAGAAGCCGTGCACTTCAGAGTGGGTGAGTTGTATGTATGCGTGTCTTACTTCTTAGTAAAACTCTAACCTAAAACCAACAAACCAAGGAATCATCCTGAGAGTGAGACGTGGCCACAGGCTGTGCAGTATTTGGGGACAAATCCAGATGCTCGGATGTTTTCCTCCACTGCCAAGTGCAGGGATTTCCCTGGCTGTACCTCCTTGTCCCCTAATACAGAGATTTGCTCTTCTCTGCTGTGTTCAGAGGGAGCTCACCTGGCACGGTGGTTGGCCTCCCTCTGTAGGAAACCTGGCCCTGCTTTCCAAAAGGAGCCATGCTATGCTGAGGTTCATTGGGCAGAGAGGCAAATACAGTTCCCAGCACTGCCTCTGTACTCATATACCCATATGGGGAAATTGAGGTACAGAAAGGCCAGGCTCCAGAGCAAGCAGGCATGACCATCGCCCCACCAAGCATTGACCTGGCATGGTTCCCTAGCAGTAAGGTGGAGAGAAGCGGGGAGGGCACTTTGGGGGTGAAGACCTACTACTGACCATTCACTGAGTACCTACTGTGTGCCAGTACCCTGTGGGCAGGGGGAGCCAGCGCTAGGGCGTCAGCCCCAGGCCCAGCCCCTGTCTTTCAGCAGCTCACTGTCTAAGGAGCTGGGGGGAGGGAACAAATAAATATACAAAAAAGGCTGCTAGGAACTATACTGGGAGTAGCCCAGGAAGGCTTCCAGGAGGAGAAATGTGTGAGCTGAGATATAAGGAGCAAGAAGTGTCACCAGGTAAGGCAGCAGGGACTGGGAGTTGGGGGCAGATACAATGGAGAAGGAAAAAAAAAAAAAAAAAAAGAAGCCCAGACTGAGCCGAATGCGGGGGTGGTGGTGGTGGTGAGGGATACCAGGGACTGGTGGGACTCCTTGTCCCTTCTGTCCCAAAGTCCACTATCCAGGATGGAATCGTACAATTGGGCAGCCCTTCCAGCCAGGACCATCTGCAGCCAGAACCCACAGACTCCGGGGAGGCCCAGTCTATAACCCAACATTTATCCTGTACCTGGGTGCAGGAACCTTGGATCCTAAGCAAGTCACCCACTCTCTTCATCTGGAAAATGGAGATGATGACAAACACATCCCCCACATGGTGATCCTCCCCTGGTGAATTGATTGGTGGTGGTTGTTGTTGGTGGTTTTTTTGGTATTGAGGATCCAACCCAGGGCCTTTGGATTGAGATATTTTATTTTACTTTTTGAGGTTCTTTTTTTTGGTCAGTACCAGGGATTGAACTCACGACCACGTGTTTACAAAGGCAGGCGCTTATGCCGCTGAGCTAAATCCCCAGCCCCAAGCTATTTTATTTTTGAGAGAGGATCTTGCTGAATTGCTAAATTGCCCAAGCTGGGTTCAAACTTGTCATCTTCCTGCCTCAGTTTCCCAACGTGCTAGGATTACAGGTAAGTGCCACTGTGCCTGACTTCCTACCAACATATTCAGAGGGGAAAAATCCCAACAGTTTTATGTGTGGTGTGAGTCATCAAGGCTGTATTTATAACAGAAGAAATCTGGAAACAGCCTGAAGGTCCTACCAAGTGGGCTGATGGGGGCTGACAGTGCTGTACTGTCATGGGAGAGGATGTCACTGGCCTTCCAGAATGACAACTGAGGTCACTGGGAAGGGCCTGTGGTAATTTGGAGAAACATTTCCAGCATCCCAGCATCAGTAAGGGGGGATGGGGGAAGGTCCCCAACATAATGACATGTTTTTGATGTAAAAATCATAGCAAATAGACAGGCCTGGGCAGACCGTGGAAAGTGGGCTGATTAGGTAACAGGGTTGAAGGGACTAAGCAAACTGATGAATCCTGACTGCTCCTGGGGACAGAATGTGGTTTGTGGGCTAAATAAAACCACAACTACAGAGGGCCTCAGGCCCTGGCACGCCAAAGCTCTGTATTGGTCTTGGTGTCTGTGGAGGCAGATGGGATAGGACAGCACTTGGAAGACTGGACAGTGACATGGACACTGCCCCAGAGGGGCCCCATGGGTGGGTGGCAGCAGAGGCGTGGCCAGAGGTTGAGGTGCAAGGCCCAGTCGGATAGGCAAAAAAGCAGGGCTGCCCGGCCTCAGAGGACCTGGGTCCTAGGGAACCGAGGCCCAAGCCTTGGTCAACAGAACACAGTAGCAAGGCTGGGGCAGAAAATGACGATGGATATTCACTGACTGACTGATTTTATGGAGTACCAAATTGGGGGCAATATGAGAAGAGTCCTCAAAGGCAGTGAGGGCTTAAGCTAGACCAGACATGAAGGGGAGGAAGAGGAAGAGCGGGATGATGAATAACAGGTCACTTAGGAAGCATTTACTATTTGTCAGGTCCTGCTTAAGCTTGTCACATGCACTGACCTATTGAGTCTGCCAAACAATCCTGCCAGGTGGATTCTATTTTTGCCCCCATGTTTCAGATGGGGAAGCTGAGGGACAGGGCAGTGAACTGCTGCCAGACTGTATGACTCTGGCTGTGCACTTGCCAGTAACCTCGTCCCCAGACCTGAGGGCTTAGCCTGGAAGAGGTGGGGAAAACACCAGGCCCAGGGAGAGCTATGTTGGTGCTGGGCCAGGTCAACTCCAGAGTTCTCCATGATCCCATTATACAGATGAGTAAGTGGAGGCTTAGAGTAGCTTTGTCACATCAAGGTCATTGGAAAGACCTGTAAGCTGCTGGCAAAAAGGAAGGATCACTGGCTAGAGTTGGGAAAGGTGATCCTGGCACATCCTGCAGCTCTGCCTGGCCTAGTGCAGGGCTGAGTTAGGTTAGCAGCTGGTGTGACTGGCTGTACTAGCCTAGGAGTCGGGAGACCTGAGATTAAGTCCTCACTTGGTATTACTGTCCCTTTCCTTGCTAAGGCTCACTTCTCCTGCCTGTGCATGCAGAGGGGAGCATTGGGTGCCACCAGCCACCAGCAGCTGGCAGGGCTGGGGGACCACATCTGGAAACCCCAGGCCAGGCCATCCCATCTTGGAGGTTGGTACCAGATAGAGTCACAGGGGAAACGTGCATCCCAGACATTCTCCCTCCCCGGGGCTGGGTGACCCCTGAGTTGCTTGTCCCCATGTCTAACACTGACGTTCTTGGGGATGCCCTGGAGATGGAGGCAGTTGCTTCTACAGGAAGGAACCATGGGGGTAGAAAAGTCTCAGGTGCACTGCATGGTGTCCCCAAGGCTGTGCGACCTTGGGTAAGTTACTGATTGTATGTACAGTAAAACAAAGCCCTCGCTCAGGCCCACCAACACCTCCCACCCCGGGCCTGGCACCATCTCCAATGGCCGCGGGGACACTCACCGCTCAGGTGGTATTCTGCCACATCCACGGCCATGGCTTCCCCTGCAGTGGCTGGGAGGGAAAGGGAAAAGAGTATCAGTGGTGACAGCTGCAGAGGGTCACCAGCCCTGCCTCTGTGTGCGCCTTCCTGGCATTTGCATGTCTGTCTCTTCGAGTTCACACTCAGCAGGAAGGGGAGCTTGGCTGAAGGGGGAGTGTTTTAAAAAAATGACATTTAAAAAATGGTATTCAAGCCTCTTTCCAAGCACTTTAACACCATGTTTCAGAGCTGTCTGATGAAGCATAGGATGTTGGGGCTGAGGACGTGGCTCAATGACAGGATGACTTCATGGCGTGTATACGGGTCTGGGTTTCATGCCCAGCACTGAGAAAACAAATCAACCACCAGGATACCCAGTGGCATTAGAAGTTCAGATTCATGGGATGGAGATTTAGCTCAGCGGCATAAGCACCTGACTTACAAGCAGGCAGTCATGAGTTCAATCCCCGGTACTAATAAAAAGGAAAAAGACAAAAAAAAAAAAGAGTTCAGATTCACTTTTACTTTACTAAATTAATTGTTTTAAGATGAGGTCTCATTCTGTTGCCCAAGATAGTTTCAAATTCCTGGACTGGAATAATTCACCTGTCTCAGCCTCCTGAGTAGCTGGGACTACAGATCAATGCCATTGTGCCTTCCCAGATTAGTGTTTAGTGTTTAGTCCCAAATGTGGCATGGGACATTATGTATGCTAAAAAACTATCCATTGCTTAACTGAAACTCTGGTGTTAGTGAGTGTCCTGTGTTTTGCTAAATCTGGCAACCCTGCCTCATCTCCATGTTAGCATGGGCGGGCTGAGAGCAGCGACGACTCCTGCCCATTAGCGCAGTCTCCCTGGTGTGTTCTTGGGCTGCACCGCCAGTGCTTCCATTTAGATTGCAAAGACCACATTTCCCCACAGTTCTATTCTCAGTCCTTTCCCTGCTTGGGATGGTTTCTCCCTCTACTTTCAGGTTTTATGAACCACTGAAGTCTCACCAGATTCTTCTGGAAAGGTCTGGGAGATCACACAAGTCATTACCTGAGCCCTGGCGACTGCTTACTGTTTTATTATTACTGTACTGTTGCTAAGAAGTCAGTCTGGCTCAAAGATGAGTTCCAAGTGGGTAGGTGTGGAGAGTTCTGGAAAAGGAAAGCAGGGATGAGCTGCACTAATTGAGATTTCTGCTCAGGGGCACAGCAGGCCAGGATACCCAAAATATGGGTTCCCTTGCATTCAGAGGTGCCTATGCCCCAAAGGCCCACAGGCCCAGGCAGGTAAGGAGAAGTATGTAAGAATTTTGGAGTACTTCCTTGGCTGTGGGGAGGCTGCCTTTCTGATCCACTGAAAATGCCAGCCCAGCATAGCTGGGTCTTCTGGTTCATTAAAGAAAAGTCAGGTTCAGTACTTGGATTGCTTTTGTTTGGTTTTATTTTATTTATTTTGGTAATAATGGGGACTGAACTCAGGGCATCTGCCCTGATCTACATCCCCAGATCTTAATTTTTTTTTTTTAATTTTTAGACAGGTTCTTTCTAAGTTGCCTAGACAGGAGTTTGAACTTGCGACCCTCTTCCCTCAGCCTAGGATTTCAGGCATGAGGATTCAGTGCTGTGATTAAAGGCATGTACCACCACATCTAGGCACTTGTATTTTTAAATGTGGACTTTTCCCATTTTTATTTTTTATTTCTTTTTAAATTTTAATTTATGTTTTGAGATGGGTCTCAATGTGTTGCCCTGGTCTTGAACTCTTGGGCTCAAGTGATCCTCCTGCCCCAGCTTCCTGAGTACTGGAGACTACAGGAATGCATCACTAGGCCTGGCTTCCTGGTTTTTACATACTGCAATCAATTCACAAAAAGTGTACAGAAAGTGTCATAAAAGGCTGGTGGGCTGTGGATCACCAGTTCCCAACCCTGCCCAGTATATTTTAGGCTTTCTTTGGGATCAGCCGAGACACTGTGCACTTTTAGGAATTCTGGGGTTCTCTCCAATCAGTGGCTTTGGAGTCAAGAAGTTGGGGTGCTTAGAATCCATCCCATATGAAGGTGCTATTAGCCTTAAGGTAGCTAGATAAGGGTATACACAGACAGCTCGTGGCTCCTGCTTTCCTGATGCTGCCCCCTCCCAACATGAGATGAGGGTTGCTATGGTGATGGGATGCAGGCAACCAGAATGCCTCACCCATCCTTACTTGAGTGCGGGTCCTAGGCTTGAGATAATAACAGCCCTTGAGATGAGAAGAGCTCAAACACTTTTTATGCACTAAGCTTGGCTGCAAGGACTTTGCATATATGTGAACTCATTTAACTCTCATAACAATCCTTTGAGGTTGGCATTGTTAAGATGTCTGGTTTGTAGATGAGAATGTCAGCATGAAGTTAAAGTAATTTGCCCCAGGCCACATGGTTAACAAACATTCAACCCAGGTCATCTGGCTTCATGCTCCTAATCACTTTGTCTTACTGCAGGTAGGCATATGGTTTCAGAAACGTTGCCTAAGAATTGTGGGTCACATGGGTCACCTGGTACAAGTCCAAAGTGGCTCTATCCCCTGATGGCTGGAATCCAGAAACACTGAAACACAACAAGAACACATACTCCTGCCTGCCTCTGCCTTGCTGGAAATCCGGCAATGCCATCAGCATTCTTTCCTGCTTACCAAGCAGGAACTGGCTTGGCAAGAGAGGCCAAGCTGAGACAGCCAACGCCAGCAGTATGCTAGCTACGGACTGTGGAAAGGCACACACACCCCCTACACGCCCACCACAGCACCGCCTGCACGCTACAGGGCAGAACCTCAGGCTGTATCACTTCTCAGGGGGACCTCCATTCTGCAGAATCTCAAACACTCCCCATCACAGCACCAGTCCCCTGAAAGCTGAGTGGGGAAGATGTGATTGTCTGCTAGGCACAGAAGTTCTCTCTGTGGTTCACTGTGAAGGGTTAGGAGCCAGGGCACATCTGGATAAGTGGAGAGACAAGGCTGGGCAGATGTGAAGGCTCCTGAAGGATGTCAGCTTGCACCCAGGTATACAGTCAACTGCCCCAGCTCTGAGCCCCAGATTCCCCTTTCCTGGCTCGAGTGGCCTCATGCAATTTTTTTAGTCCCCCTGTTCTTGCATCGTCTGTGAAAAGGGCTCAGGATTGTCCTGGGAGGGTACAAGGAAGGTGGAATGACAAGGGGAGTGTGACAGGGCTTGGCAAATAGTAACTGCTGTGGTTATTGGTCTGACCATGGTCCGGAAAGGCCCCCAAGAAGTACAAACACATAGACTGCACTGCTAGCCAGTGCATGTGTTTTATTTGCTAATACTTAAATGAGTTACATTTATAAATTGAGAAATTTCCAATTAAAATGAATTTTAATAAAAAGCCTGGGGATGTAGTTCAGCCATAGAACATTTGTCTAGGATGTGTGAGGCTCTAGGTTTGACCTCCAGAACCACAAAACCACACACACAGACACACACACACTCACACACTCACACACACACACACGGACTTCCAAGTCAGCTGTGGTGGTATACAACTATACCCTCAGCACTTGGGAGGCTGAGGCAGGAGGATAGCAAGTTCAAGGCTAATCTGGATTACAGATTGTCTCAAACCCCCCCTCCCATACACCACCACCACCATAAAAGGATTTTCAGCTTCCTTTGAAAAGTTAAAATCCGGGAGAGTGGGTCTGTACCCTTTCTTGCAACAATAGTAAACACTGGGGCTGAGCGCACTTTGCCTTTTCCTCAAGAATAATGGAGTATGGACATTTTTCTTCTTGGTTCACACCTGGTCTCTCCCATCCTTCATTCATTCTCAGAACCCGCTGGTTTGTGAAAACACTTCTGCTCCTAAGCTGGTGAGGTGGATTTGGGATGCAGTAGGAGAGGTTCAGAGAGGTTAAATGACTTGCTCAAAGCCAGCAGCAGTGGCACCTGTTCCTCCACTCAGCACCTGTCCCATTGGCAGCAAAAGCCCCAAGGCAAGGACTTTACATGCACCACCACTATTGTCTCCCTAGACCCCTCTGGAGCAAATATGTTATCTGAACTCCATGGAGGAGAAAAGGGAGGCTCAGAGGACAGTGAATTGGCCCAAGGTCATTCAGCCGATGAGTGAAGAGCTGAGACCAGGCCAGGTCTGGCCCTGCAGCAAATACTTTTGGTGGCTTTCCTCATGTTCCCTGAGACCCCCTAGCTCCACTGACCCCAGGCAACCTTTCTGGGCTTCTGCTAGTGTCCTGGAGGTCTTTCAGGCTATGGCTTCAGCTAGCACAGGATACGGGGCCATGGCAGCCAGTGACACACAAAAACAAACAGCACAGACATTGGAGCTAAGCTGAAACTGTACCTTCCCCTCCTTTACCCCTCCCACCCCATCCCACCCCACCCCACCCCACCCAACCTACTTTAGTCCTTCCGTCTACACTGCAACTACTACTAACTGGCAATAGCTCCCCGTTCAAATTCCAGCTCAAAAGTACCTTTCTAGCAAAACCTCTCATTGCTGCTTCTATATATGTGCTAAGTGCTTAGTACTACGCCTGGTGCACTGTAAGCACCCACTGTAGACCTGGTGATTGAATGGATTATTGGATCCCATTCTACAGATGAGGAAGCTGGGGTCCTGGGACTCTCGGCTTATGAATAGCAACACTGGGCTCTGTGCCAAGGAGGGATGGATCTGGGCCTGGGCTTTAGGCCACTATGCTGATTCCTGATCAGACCTGAGGCAGCCACACCACAAAGGAGAAGAGGGGGGCGGGGGCACCCCACTTGGCTTTTTTGGAATCTGACCAAGCCAGATGCCCCCTTCTAAGCTTGTCAGAAAAATAGCTTTCCAGGAATTCTGTAACTTGTCAGAGGAAGAGCATCCCCACTCCACCTCATCTTTGCTCAGTATCCTCTACATGTCTCTGGCTGACAAGGGGTCAGCTCTCCCTTCCCCCACCCTGAGACCAGCAGGTAATGAGGAGGATTGAGGCCAAGGCAGGGGATACAGAGGAGCCTCAATATTCCAGGCCGAGAGATTGTCTTTAGGACCTGTAGGTTTGATGACCCTTTTGAGTGCTTCCCCCACCCCAACACTTTCAAGATGACCACATCCTGGCGTCATCCTCCAAACAGCCCACAGAAACCACAGTACAGACTGGCTGGGGCTTGGTGGTGGCTGAGGTTGAGCACCTACTGTGCACCAGGCATTGTACCAAAGACTTGCCTCTGTTACTTCTGTGCATTCTCCCTGCAAACCTTTGAAGAGCTGCTGTTCTGGGACCTTGTATGGCTATGAAAACTCAGGCCCATGACATGGTTTTGCTATAGTCACAGGGAGCTGTAGGGGACAGAGTCCAGGCTGAGACCCTAGGTTATGAGGCCCAACAATCCTGAGCGCTCCAGCACAGTTTTGTATTTCCAAGTGGGGAGGCAGGGGTATGTGAATACTTATCCTGACTCTTCTTTGGACTGGCCTTGTTAACTTAGGTGGGTCTACTGCCCTTCTAGGGCCTCAGTTTCTTCTCCATTTCTAATTGCAATTACTACTGCTGTCACTCTCCAAACCTGTCACCCATGCTCAAAGAGGCTGACCCTCTAACTAGCATGTGGCTTTCCCAGGCTCTTTGCCATGTAGATGGACTGACTGAGGAGCAGGCACACAGCTGCTCTGCAGCACAGGGCTTGCCAGGATGGTCGGTTGGTGGGGGGCTCCACTCACAGACCCTGCTCCCAGTCCCCACGTCCTGCCCAAATCTGCAGGTCTTCTCTATCTCTTCACACATACTGCCCAGGGCCTCCTGGGGATGAGGTGCTACGTGCCTGATAGCAGAACAGTTCCTGCAGACCAGGCATTTTGGTCTGAGGAAGTCCCCTCCCCGCTTTTGGACACAGGAGTGGGGGAGCTTGACCCTGGGGTCCTAGAGGTTCTAATACCCGGGCAGGGATAATGAAAATAGGGCGCTGAGTGTGAAAGTGAGGGGTGTGCGTGGGGCGTGGGCTCAGGGGAGGCGTGTAAACAGCGGGGTAAGCCGCGTGTGTGCACACGCGGGCGGGCGAGCGAGCCGGCGTGCGGGCGCGAGGCGATGCGCAGTGCGCGGAGTGGCTGGGCCGGACAAGGGCGCCCAGCGTGCGCTGTGCCTGGCGTTCGCGTGCAAGAGCGGCCGGGCTGCAGACGCGAGGAGTGTGCGGGGGGCCCCCAGGTCCGTGGCGCAAGGAAGGGGACGCGTGCGTCCGCGCGCAGGGTGCGTATCCCCGCCGGCGCCGGGGTCGGCCGGGTGCGTACTCACCCGGGCTCGCCGAGGGGCCGCCGCTCCGACTCGGGCTCACTCTCGAGCTCTCGGCTCCCGGCCCGCCTCCCGCAGCGCGCACGCACCGGCGCCAACCCAGGCCGCCGGCGGCAACGCCACCCCTGCAGTGTCGCCGGGCGCCCGCCTCAGGCGGAAGAGCGCGGCGCGGGTCGGGGGCTCCGCCGGGCCGGGGCGACGGACAGGAGCTGCGCCGCAGTCCGGGCACGCTCCCAGGAGCCCGCCGCGCGCTCCCCCGCTCGCCCGCCCTCTCCGTCTTTAATTTAAAGTGACAATCCCGAGCGCTTTCCAATCCCGAGAGCCGCGCAGCGCTGCCGGGGAGTGAGCCGGAGATCTGCAAACGCGCGCCGGGGAGACCCGGGGTGGGAGGGCGCAGGAGGCCAAGCCGAATCCCTCATTCCCGACCCCAGGACGAGCTAGGATGTAGTAAGGGCTGTACTCAGGGGTTTCTAGAGGCCTACAGAGCACTGGACAGAGTCCTCAGGCATGGTTTTTAACCTCATCCTGCTGCGCCCCAGTTTGTCCTGTTCCCTTTTATGTTTCAGTTTCTTTATCTGTAAAATGGGCCCAATACGATGCTGTCCATTCCAAGAACAAAAATCCTCAGGCGGCTGGGTGGGTAGGGGACCTCCCCGTCTCTGAATTCCCGCCCTCTGTGATTGAACTGTTACCGTGGGCCAGGTTGGTGCTCGTAACATCATCCCACAGTATCCTCAAACTATCCTAATCAGGACGTGGCCATTTCAGTTTTTATGTGAAGAAACAAGCCCAAAGGTGACCAAGGTCACAGTACCAAAGGTCAGAGTCAGAACAGGAGTCGTGGACTTGAAAGCCCTTCCTCTTAACCTCTTAAGGGTCGAGCTTTCTCTCCCAAGGGAATGAATGAATCATTCAGGAGATATTTATGACGCCCCCGCCTGGTGCTCGGCACAGGGCCAGGTGTGGGCGATTTTCCATCTTCCGGGAACAGGGGACAGGTCCCTCCTCGCAGTCTGGCAAAGGAGGCCCGGCACGCATTAGGAGAAGCTGAATGTGCGGGGGGGGGGGGGGGGGGAGGCACCACGTGTCACAGGGACGGTGACCAGGAGAGCAGCCGAGTGGGCACCTGGTAATGTCTTCTGGAGACTGGGGTCTGGTGAGGAAGGAGGTGAGGATCCCCAAAGTAGAGCCAGTGTGTGAAGGCGGCGGCGCTTCCCGGATTGTCTATGCTCCAGGCCTTTGAAACTGAGAGCAGCTCATGGGCACTGTTCTCTCAGCAAAGACTGGGTGTATGCTGGCCTTGGGGAAAGGGACTCCTTGGTCCCAAAGGCAGGACACTGGAGAACCCTGGCAGAGGGAGGGCTGCAGCTTCACACTCATCCATAGGGGGTGCTCACGTTTTCTTTTCCCTTCCGGCTCCAAGAAAAGGGTGGGGGGAATATTTGGGAGAAGGGCTGGATACTGGGTCAGGCTTTCACTGCCTTTTGCCATTTACCTTCGTAGCCACCTGCAGCTTCGGCGTGCCTGAGCCCATTCTACATGGGCAAAACCGAGGCCTGCAGAAGGATCTGGTTCCCTCTCTGAGAGGGAGTGAGGAGCTAGACAGACTTTGTGTAAAAAGGGGAGAAGCGTAAGGCAAGGCTGAGGCCAGACCGGTACTGGCCTAAATCTTGCGGGACTGGTGGTGCCAGAACGCTAGTGAACTTGAAAGGAAATCTTGTCAGTTTCATGTTTAAGATCCTTCAATAAGCTGGGAGCTGAGGCAGGAGGATTTCAAGTTCAAGCCCAGAAAGGCAATTTATAAGACCCTGTTTCTTCTTTCATCTCCTTTTTTTTTTTTTTTTTTTTTTTTGCAGGGGAGGGTACTGGCAATTGAACTCAGGACTTCATACTTGCCAGGTAGGCGCTATGCTACTGAGCTAGATCTCCAGCCCTAAGATCCTGTTTCAAACAAGTAAAAATAAAAAAGAACTGCGCCAGGTATGTTGGTGCACATTTGTAATTCCAGCACTCAGGAGGCTGAGGCAGGAGGATAGCTGCAAGTTTGAGGCCAACCTGAACTACCTAGTGAGTTCAAGGCCAGCCTGAACTACATAGTGAAATCCTGTGTCAAGCCTCCACCCAAAAAAGGGTTGTAGATGTAGGTCAGTGCAAAATCCCTAGATTCAGTCCCCAGAACTGCCCCCCCCCAAAGTGTAGAGCTCATAAAAGAGCAAGACTTGAAGACTTGGACCTCCTTGGTCTCTCTGGCTTGTCTCTTGCCATGTCATCTCTCTGTCTCCCACTATGATGCCATCTGCCATGTGACACAGCTAAGGGTTCCTCCCCAGAGGCTGAATCAATTCAGTGAGGCCACCCAATCTTGATCTTTCAGCCCCTAAAACAGTCTGTAAAAATATGGCTTTAAAATAAAAATTATAAGGTACTAGAAATTGAAGCCAGGGCCTCACATACCAAGCAAGTACTCTACTATGAGCTAAAGCCCCAGCCCTTTTCCAGAAAAGTTCATTTTGATCTGGGATCACACTAAAGTGCCCAGACTGGTCTTGAATTTTCTATCTTCCTGCATCTGTCTCCTGAGGAGCTGAGACGATAGGTAGGTGCCACTGTGCCTGGTGACATCTTTTCTTTATGATACTCAGCCTCCAACAGAAAGTGGACTTGGATGGGGGTTCTGGGACACTGCTCACACCTCTCCCAGGTGTGTCCACATTGTGAAAACTCATGGTATGGACATGCGGGACCTGTGCACTTTCCTGCATGCGTGACATGCTTCAGTACAACTGTGGACACCTTGTGTGAGTGCAGGCTGCATGGGAAACAGAAGCCAGGCTCCATCTGTGCCCACAGGCCCTGTGAGCTCTGTGCCCTGGCCCTGCTGGCCTCTCCGGACTGTCATGTCCCTACCTCCCTCTCCCATCCAGCTCCCACCTCCTATGCCTTCTGGTATTCCTGACACCTGCCAAGCCTTTTTCTACCTTGGAATCTTGTTGATCCCTGTACTTGGAAAGTGTTTTCTCTGTTGTCACCAAGGTTATGTCTTCTGGTTTCTAAGTGTCACCCTAAAGAAGTCCCTTATTCAGAGAGACCCTCTGAGTCCCCTCCTAGAGAAGTCCCTCCACCCTCACTAATGTCTCCCAAGACACACTGCCTATTTCCTTCACAGCACTTGCTATAATTCACACTTATGTCTTTGTTTGCATTTCACTTTCTGTACCCTCCAGTGACTAATAATTGTCACCGCACAATACATTTACTAGTAAGTTAGGGCCAAGTGCCTTTAACAGCATGTGAAGGGGTTGAATCCTTATGGACCCATGGAGAGATACTCTGCTTAGTCCCACTTTACAGCTGAGGCTCAGGGACATTATGTAACATGTTGTGGTCACACAGCTGGGAGGCAGTAGAGCCAGGATTTGAACATAGGCAGCCTGGCTCCCAAAATTCCTGCTCTTTTTGTTTTTGTTTTGAGACAGGATTTCATCAGGTAGCCCAGGTTGGTCTTGAACTTGCTTATGCAGCCCAGGCTGGCCTCAAACTCATACTTCAGCCTCCCAAGTGCTAGGATTATAGGCACGTGCCACCATGTCTGGTTAGAAACCCTACTTTTGTCGGACATGATGGCTCATGCCTGTAATCCCAGCACTTGGGAGTCTGAAGCAGGAGGATCATTGCGAATTCGAGGCCAGCCTGGGTTACAAAGTGAGCTCAAGGCCAGCCTGAACCACATAGTGAGACCCTGTCTCAAAAAGACAAAAAAAAAAAAAAAAAAAAAAAGAAACCCTGCTTTTTTACACCTGGACAAACTTCATCTTCTTCCTTCCCTTCACCTGGGATAGTTCCTGGCATCTGGAACAGTCCATGGTATGTGATAGGTACTCAGTGAATGTTTGTTGAGTGAGTGAAGTGCCAGAGACCGAGAGAGAGGAGATGAGGGAGCTTGGTCCCCAGAAGGGATGATGAGGAGAAGGGCATGCAATGTTATCTGGAGTCGAATTAGCAAGGTCTCCAGGGAATTGACAGTGGCTGGAAGTCTTGAGACAGCTGAAATTAACCCAAGTTGAGGTCAAGCCCAGGGCCTCATCTGGGCCTGGGCACAGCTTCTAGGCTAGGTGGATTCATCTTCAGCCTCCCCATGTGGGCACAGAGGCTGTTCCCAGTGGGATGTCTGCCTTTAGGAGCCACACTTGCACTGGAGTCCCTAGCAGTGTGTCGGCCCCCCGTTAGGTGATGGTACCTGTCAGGCACCCAGGCTACAGTAACCCCAAAGAGGCGACATAAGTCTCATCTGCCTCTGGTCAGAGGCTCTTTGGACCTTCCTAGGTATAGGAAAGTCACAAGCAACTTAGGGTCCAGGTTGTTGCTGCAGGGCCAGTCAGAGAAGGCCACAGCTCTGGTATCTGTGTCCCCTTAAGCCTGCCTGCCAGTCCCCAAGCTTCAGGAGCGAGGTCCAGCTGCAGCCTGTGCCTGGGCATCTTTACCACTAGCTGTCGTGCTGTGGATGTGTGTGGCTGTCCACCAACCCAAAGTGGCCCACATGCATCGTCCCTTAGGTCCTCCTCCTGTTCCTCTTGGCCTCTGGGACAACTGAGAGCAGTTCCTGAAGAGCAAGGATGCTCTGGGCTCTGTCCCATGGGTGCTCCTGTCAGCCCCGCAGGGATGCTGTGTGGGCGGAGTCAGCCCTAGTTACCCATGAAAAAGACCCAGAGAAACAAAGGCCCAGCCAAACACTAGGGTAATTTCCGGGCACAGGTGTGGTGGAATGTACCCAAACCCAGTACTTTAGCCAGCAGCTGGCCATTTCCTGGCTCCGAATCAGCTTGTGGGCCGTCAGCAACCATTTGTCTGCCCTGCAGCCCCCATAGGATCAACTCTGTTTTTTCTTTTTTTTCACCTCTCTGCAGTACTGAGGATGGAACTCAAGGCATTCACACAGGGCTGCATCCCCAGCCCTTTTTCCTTTTTACTTTGAGACTAGGTCTTTCTAAGTAACTAAACTGCCCAGGCTGTGCTCGAATTTGCAATCCTACTGCCTCAGCCTTTCAGAGTGCTAGGATTACAGTCATGCCTGGCTAGGATTACAGTCATCCTATGCCTGGCTCCTCATTGCCTTTTTATTTATGACTTCCCTGACATCTGGTTTCCCCTCCTTTGCCTGATTTTCTACCTCCTGAGGGCCAGAGCCCTCCTGGACAGTGAGGGAGAAAGAGGCTTTGGGCCCTTCAGTATTCACACTGGCTCTGCCCACATTCCTGGAGGAGCTTCATAAAGCTCAAAATACCAGGCTGGGCATGATGGCACATGCCTGAAATCCCAGCTACTTAGAAGACCAAAACAAAAGGATCACAAATTCAAATCCTGCCTGGGAAATTTAGTGAGATCTTGTTGCAAAATAAAAATTAAAAAGGACTGGAGGTGTCACTTAGTGGTAG